GATAATATTCTAATTAACAATGACGTTTTTATTGTCATTAAAAAGTTTGAAGTGTTTAGAATATTTGATTTTTGCAATTAAAGGTATATATATATATCACACTTGAGAGCATTATCAAAAATATAGAAGTTTCGTTAATTATTTTATTTTTATGTCTGAGTATTTGTTCAAAACTTGAAAACAATTCCCTTATTGGTTTAAAAGTTATTTAATTTTTTTGTTGGTTTTGATTCTTTTGTAAAATCACATTTCATAACGTTTATTTTCAAATTTGATAAGAGTATTACGAATTGAATTACATTTTTTTATATGTAGGTATTAATAAAACTTATAAATATTCGTATAAAATTTATTTGAATCCACTTGTTTGTTTAAAAGTTATTTATCTAAAATATTACAGAAAAATATGGTCATTTAGCTGCAAAAAGCCAAATTATTCATTGTTTTTTGCAGTTGTTTCGAGGTGTACATATTTATGATATATTTGTAAATTTTTTTACTGATATTAGCTGATATTGGCGTTTTTAGCTGATTCTTTGACTAATATTGACAGCTAAAAATGTTTATTTAATCATTCTATTATTGAAGCATTCTTTTAACAATAAAAATTATAAATACGGAATAACATCACAACGCTATTTATTTTTAAAGAAAAAATTACAATCCTTTGTAAATTGCTTAAATAAATTAATGCAGTTGTATTTAAAGATAGGAACTTTTTATTTCCTCCATTGCACTTTTTACAGTTCTTCTATATCGCGGATTTATATTTTGCCATGAGCCACAAAGGTTGTTCCTCTAAAAGCTATCTCGTCACGCTCGAGATAGCTTTTAGAAACTTCAAAGGGTTTGAGCTATTGAACCGCTTATTCGCCGTCTTCTTTGCCATGATGAACGTACGCGATCGCCGTCGAAACCGTCGAACTACCGAGTATCTAGCCGATTGTCCGCGTCTGGGTGAAATTGCCGGTAGATGAAACGTCTTAGTCAACTATCGGCTACTCGCAAATTCCACAGAGGCTACCATCATGCCTGTTCGCAGATAGCGGTGGATAACGGTGATCGGTGTTCCCGCCGTAGTTTCCACTGTAATCGTGGCTAACGAGCTAGAGCCACCTTTTCTTCCTTCGTTCCTTACAAAAAGCTCTCGAGGAAGCTCGTTTGGAGGCATGCTAGCAGCACGGTGATCGCAAGTGCACGGTGTGCAAGCTGCTCTGGGCCGATGCCCCTGTGATTCCGTTAATGGGACCTGCGTGTTCTCAGAGAGCAAAGCTGATCATTTCCCGCCGTCGGCGGCTTTAAACAGTTAAATCTAACGATAAAAACAACGTTTCCAATAAGGAATTGAATAAAATGTTGGTTTTCATCATCTATAAGTTACATATAATTTGATATGTGAAGATACGTGAAAAATTTTACGTCACAATTTGTGCATTGTAGTGATGCGATACTTGTAGTGTGGCAATCTAAAAATTTCGAACGTGGCAAAACTGATTGCGGGCCTTGTTTAGTACTTTTAGGCATGGACGGTGCAGACCTCTGACCGTCTAGAATCTAGATTATAAATATTGATCCTGAGCGTCCTTCAGTCTCGAGTGCACTCGAAGATTCCCTCTTGTCCGGCATTTCTATACCGGGTTGAGTCAAGGGGGATTCTTCATGGCGAAATTGAAATCGGAGAGGTTCCTCGTATCCACTTCACTAGACGAAGAATCAGAATCGAGCAAATTAAAAACTTGGGCTATCTAGTTTCAACGAGTCATACCTCTATGCAAACGTCAACAGACATTCAATGAGGGTTTTGCATTCAATAATATATATCCAGACATACACAGAAAGTAGAGGTAACTGTTGAATTGGACCATGCATGAATAGCAATATAGATGTGCAACCAAAAGATTTGTTGAATTTTAACAATACAGTTTTCTTAATGTCATGTAGACGCATCTTTAATATTATCGCGAAAAGATTATTTACCAAAGACTTTTTAGCTCAAGAAACCGCTCAGTACAAAGGGAAAGTAAAGATGATGAAGGAAGGTCACTGTAGAAGTTACTAATTCCAACAAGGAGACGGGCTTAGCCGAAGACCGCCGTCGGATTTTAGGCTTCTCGCCCCCTGGCATGTCTTCGTGCCCTCTAAACCGGTTTAACCGAGCTCTCGTTAACTTCGTTACCGCTAATGCCTGTTGCAATGTGGCTAAGTGGCCATTGCTGCTCAAGGCGTTCTGCCTGAGGCCTCGGATCCTTTCCCAATTACTTTACTACCGTCAAAGTCGCGATTCCATTAATCAATTAACACGAGTTACAAATTTATCAGTAAGATCGTCTGTATCCGGAGTAATCAAATATTGTAACTTCGAAATGACTTTTTGGCGTCTCAGAATATCATAATTCTTAAAGGCTTATAATTACGGCTCTTTTTGAGGACTCTTGGATTGTTTTTAGTTAACTTTACGTGAATTATTTACTTCTGTAATCTTCTCAACTGTTAATAGTATAAGTTAATGATGCTCATCTTAATTATTCATTACGAGGTAATTCTTGTCAACATTGCAGACAATATAAAGGATCTTTAGTATAAAGGATCCTTAGAAATCGTTTTCCGATACAGCGTAGATACGCCCTTCTGTGCGTGAACGTTGAGTATAGCGTTCGTCGATAAGTCTTACGGGCCGTAAGCGGCCAAAGGAATGTCCGGTTAGATGTACTTGAAATCGTTAAAGTAGACAGAGACAGCTGAGCCCGGTGGCTTTGAGGGCATCGCGCAAATTACAGATCTAAGGACGAGCGTCCTAGAAATGCCGCTTTGCGTAAAGCTGAACTGATTGAGTGAGGCGTTTTAGTATGCCATGAGTGCATCGCTTCTCGAAAGCACACTCAAGACCTGAGAAACCGAGAACGTTGAGTCGCGGGAATACCGGTGGGAAATTCTGAAGATGGTACTTCGATTTTCTCTTCATTTGATTCCCTTCACCGTTCTGTTATACGAGCAGATGCATTATAATTAAGAGTAAATTTACCGTTGTGCGCTTTAATCTCTGCATTTTATCACTTTACGTTCCACGCATATCGAATTTTTAAAAAAGAATTATGCAAGCTCGAACCATTTACCATACGATATTATTGCAAAAATTATTTATTTATACATTTTTATTGTTGTGTTTATATTGTTGAAATGAGACTCTAACATATTTATGTGAAACTTACACGAAACTTGTAATTTTATTATACTGCACATTTCGTTCTCAATGATTATGTTAGCTACTTCGTAGTGATCATCACCAGCTTCATGAAACTTCTTAATTTAGTATCGTTTGTTTGAATTTCTGTTGCAAACTGGTAAAAAAAGCGCTCAGAGAACACAGTTATTGCGCACGGTAACGTTATATACATACTCGCGTTCTCTCTTTCTGTAGGTGAGAAACTTTTGATTTACGACGCACTGCCCGACCAATACCGTGGCTACAGCGCTCTGCAGCGGCACAGTAGAAAAGTTTTCTGGAGACCAAGAACGCTCTATTAGTACCATTCGTTATTTTGTTTCCTCTCCCGTTCGTGCACGAGCGGCCGTATAAGAAAAGCTTGCGAGGGGAAGCTCCACAGTTCCTACGCCAGAGGAAGGAGGAGAATCCCTGGAAGGATATCCGCCAGCGGTTCCAAGAGACTCGGATAGTTTTTCGTCTCGGAAAACTGGTTATTGATACTGCAGCGCGAACTTCCCCGGAACTTTCCTGCCCGCCGCCGAAGTACTCGCCGTACTCGAGAAGCAAGACGATAAAAACATATTTGCCCGTGCCCGATGTTAACAACCTCCGCCACCATTCCCGTTAACGTTTTGTCATTACGCTTACGTTATGCCGTTACATACCATGTCCGAAAACTTGTTCGTCTCGATGTACCATGTACGCGTTCGCGATTTATCAAGCGTTCCCTTAATTGCCCGTACGCGCGCAGTACTTTACGGAGAATCTTGGCCAGTCTCCAACTATCGATTTGCCTCTCTCTTCTAGGCGGACGTCAGCATATATATTTATAATCCAGTTAATCGTGCTGCTCTGTATTTTAAGACGCGTCTGTCGCGCCCGAACTTCTACCCTCGCCTCTTCTAACTTCCAGTCTTGTGAGTTGTGGGAGCGTTTTCTTTCGTGAAAAGCGTTGAAACTTGTAGAAACGAAATTTTGTATCATATACTGACAAATATTTTGTATGATATGTGACTTACAAAAAATTTCTTACTCTTTAATTAAAAAATTTTGTTGTTTTAATCAAAATTTAATTACAACAAAATTTAAATTAAAAAATAAGAAAGTTTCTGTAAGTTACATATAATACAAAACATTTCTCTCAGTGTATATTATTATAAAAATGATATAATTACTTCATTAGAATGTTATGTAATATATATTGCTCATTTGCTATAACAACATGGAGAGAATTTTTTTTAAAGTATATCCTGAAAATATGGTAGTCGTGGGGCAACATTGTATTTCGAAGAATTTTAATGTAAATCTCTCTCTCTCTCTCTCTCTCTCTCTATTTATTAATAAAACTACAATAAAGTATAAAATAAGTTTGATTAATTTTACTGAAGTGCATGGTAGAAATCTTTAAAATATTGTATTGTACCACAACTACCGTATTTTCTCTCAGGATAAATTATAAAAGAAAATTCTCTCCGTGAACAATATAACTAAAAAAAAAAAAAACAAAGTTTTCTAGAAAATATAAGTTTCAATATTTTGAATTATTAAAATTTTTTAATTTTATTTTTTTGAAATATAGTTTTGATGTAATAGCTGATTATAAAGGGGAAAAAATGTACTTTTAAAGTATGTTTTTTTTTTTTATGTTTTCATTCCTTTCTTGCGAGCAACTAAAGAATGATAATTTTTTTAGTTGTATCATTGTTATAGCAAATGATCGATATGTCATACAATTGTATGTGTTTACATTTATATTATTCACCTGCATGCGTTAACAGTTTATATTTCTGTTACAGTATCTAAGTGCTAACAGAATGGATACGTCAAGAAATCGAATTAGAAGAATGGTCGGCTTGCTCTGGTTCTGCTTCTTTTTCGCGGGAGTCCTGGCTGAAGGTACTTTGGAGAAACTACATGAAGGTGAGTAATCGCTTAATATACTCTCAATTGAATCTTTAAATAAACATTTTTTACCTCAATTTTATATCTAAAAAAGGCATATAAAGAAGTCCGATCGTTTCAACATCGCAAAGACTACTGGCTCTTCAATTGGGTATCACGAGTATAATAAATAACGTCGTTATATCGCCACGGTCGTTTAATGCAACGATACTGACAGCACGGCGGTGCTGATGATAAATTTCAATTTAATGTATTGGATATTCTACCTTTGAGAGCTCGTTAGCGTAATAACCGGTTGAAAGGGCGTGACCGGTTTTTCGCAATTATATATTTTCCGACAGAGCATACCGAGCTCCCTGATAAATGATTGGTATTTATCAACGTTCGGTATGGCTTAAAGAGAGATGAGAAAAATATAAATTAATTATAATAGGGAATTAAGCGGAAATAATATTCAGAATTACGCGATATTATGATTGAACAAAGGTTCTGGGATTTGCTCATAAATATTTATAATTTCAACGTGTGTAATATAATATATTGATTAGATAACTGTACAAGCTTTAAAATTAAGAATCTGCGGTATATATAAAGAAGTATAATATCGCGAATAGTTGAAAAAACACCAGAAAATACGGAACACAACGTGTGAGAAACGGCGATCGTCTCGCTGCAACATTACAGTCAGCAGCAAGAATGCGAGAGAAATGAGCGCTCGTCTGTGAGTGATTCTGATGCGGTATCCTATCGATCGCCTGAATTTCCCCTGCCTTGCAACACGAGCGAGCACAGTTTGTAGAAACGAGAGATAAACGTCTATCTCACTACTGGTCCGAGAATGGGCAGACGTGCCGGCGAGCCGGATAGAGAACGATGAAGGCGGCACAAGCGAAAACGAGGAGAGATGGACATACCGTAGAGTACCGGTGGGAGAGATAGGCGACAAAGAGGACAGACGGAAAAGGCGGAAAGAGAGAAAAACAATGAGACAAAGTGGAAGAGAACGGTAGAGAATGGGAGAGGAGTGAGCTGGTGTTGCAGTGCGTCCGTTAGAAAGCTACTTTAAGGCGTGTTCATAATGTAGCCACCTGTCTGCGTAGCTCTCTTTCTCCCTCGCATTCGCATTCAGCCTCGTTAGCCCGATTTTCGCACCACCGCCGCGAGCGAAATGCGAAGAGAGTAACGTTGACGACCGCGAGGGCACCATATGATTTAGCCATAAATTCGATCTGCATAACAAGGCGTGGGTCCCTCATGAATAAAGTCATTCGTATTTCGGTATTAATCACGCCTCGCAACACCAGCTGGGCGGTGTATAAGCGTGTACAGCCGGGCGCTCTCGTTTCTCCTCTCTCGGAACGCACCACCAGCGTTTTAACGAGCTATCGGAAATTCCGATCTTTTAGACAGTTCGAGTCTAACGCGGCATTTGGACGTTTAATTACATCAACCGTACGGATATTCGCGCGATATGATAATAATTACTCACTCATGACTGTGTTCGATACAGCGATCGTATTCTCTCGCTTTTCTCTTCTTTCATTTCGTTTGTTTTCTTTTCATCCTCTTTAACTTGCGTTGGATTGTATAAATGTTATCAAACGTAAACATTGAGGGAAAATTTCTTTTAGACATATCATTTCGCATGTATCAGATATGAACATGAATTTCTAGAATTTTTTTTTTTGTAAAGATAACTCAACAGAATAATCTCTACTTTTTAGGGATACGCAATGTCTATCTATCGTAGATCATGATTAGGAGCTTCCGATATAACCGAACGGAAGGGTAGAATCACGTTATAAGCGACCAATGTGCAAACTAAAGTGGTTTTACTAAGTTTTCTAGAGAGTTATCTATCGCGGTCGCAGTAGGTAGCGTGGATAAAGTATCTACGCCTTCCGGCCGATAGATCCTCCTCCTCTTTTTCCTCCTCTTGCTTCCTCTTTAGTTTTCTGTTCACAAGCGCAGCAGGTTATCTCGCTCCACCTCTTCAACTTTCTCTCTCGCTCTCTTTCTTTTTGTCTTTTTTTATCTTTTGCAGACCCAGTAAGCCGCAACTTCCAACTGAATAAGCATCACTTCCGCTTCTGACGATGTAGCCTTTGATGTAATATCTACGCCATTACCTGTTTCTTCTCTATTTTATATCTTCATCATTTTTATCGTTTTGGTACACCTGTCGCCTTCCTGTTGACCATTCACGTTTTTGTACATGTTTTTTTTTTCCTAGTAACAATGTACTTTTTGTTAACCTGTCATTCATTATTAAGATAGAGTATGATAACCTCCAGGTACTGTGATAAACACAGTGTTATTTTTATTTAACTGTTCTGTACCATTGTGATAAAACATTTTTTAATAATTTGAAATTTTGACAATTTCGTTGATGTAAATTTGGATCAAAGGGGATAGCTTAATTTAAAATATTCTACAAAATGTCATGTTATTACGACTTAGCTCTTAGATATATTAACTGAATTTTAATAAACCCCTTGATATATATATATAACCATGTTATATTTTTTACTTAATAATACCGATTTAAAAAAGATCATGATCAAATTTTGTCTGTACTGGGTAAAAATATAAACCAGGTAAAAAAAATAGATATTTAATTTGAAGAATTGATTTATTCATTTCAGGCTAGAGAAATGGATGTATTATCGAATTCGATCGTTTACGTTGAACATGTCGCAATTATATTAAATGTTCAATTACGTTATCAGTAAAAATTATGGCACAACGAATCATTCAGTACTTTTTGTACAGAGGTAAATATGCAATAGTATGGCACAGATATTACTCGTGTAAGGAGTGAAGAATGGCCGCAATTATACGCGACAGCGCATGGAGGGACATCGCGATTCATCAAACGGCATTAATCTCTCTCCGTCGTGAGTGAGATAAGACCGTGCTTTTTTGTTCGCGTATACACGCGCGAGACGTGCGTCCGGCCGGAGCTTTGTTTCTCTTTCGCGCGTTACGCGGACTCGCCGATCCCGCTTCCGGTTTCCGGCAGTCTTCCGCCCTCATAGCATCCGTGAAAAATTGCATTCATCCGTCGACAGCACAACGTATCCTCCTCCTGATGACGCGAGACGCGACGGAATCTCTCTTTCTGCAGAGGTTCTCCGTCTTTTGCAATTTCGTGCAATCTCTGGCGACACAGTGCCAATCCTTGTTCCTTGTTTTTCTTTTATCGATCTCCTGTATGCATGTACATCTTTCCTGCGTCGATTCTATCTCCATCACCGGTGTCGTCTTTTCGTTATTCTTTTCTTTCTTTTTCTTTTCCTCCCTCTCTTTCTCCTTCCCCCTATTGCACGTCGCGTCGCTCTTTTTGCTCACCAGGACTGTTTCCCCCTTCAGGCTAGATCACATCCATCATCCGAGGCAACCAAATCTCGGCATTTGTTGAGGTCTTCATCCTCTGACTCTATGGCCACAGTGGTTCCTTTCAACATCGATGAAGGGGTCGTAGTGGCGGGTCCGACACGACGCCGTTTTACTATGTACATTCTCACGTGTCAGCACTCAATTTCGTGTTATTTGTGATAATCTGCGTTTTATTCGCTTGCCCATAAACGACGTTTACTTTTGAAAACATACTGGTACATAAAAAGATTGCAAATGAAACGTATGAGAAAATTTAATCTACTCGCGAAATTGTGTTAACATAACAATGAAATAATACTGATTGTTTGAATTACACGATATCGTGATATATTGTACCTTGGATTATTGATATAATAAAAGATTCGAGATATCGTTGCACATTCTTACATCTAAACCGATATACAGACAATTATAATTTCCTAGCATAACGAGAATGAAATCGTTATTGGGATTTTCATTAGAGATAACTGGAGCATCCGGTAATTTGATCATGCGATTTTCTCTTTCTGTTGTATACCAGTGATTGGAAATCGCTCTTGTCGTTAAGCCAAATCGCGTTTCTAGATTGTCTCGTTACCTCGAGCTATTCTGGACACCTCGGTCCAGAGACTTGATAAGGTAGAGTCCAGAGCCAGAGGATTCGAACTAAAGCTCGTGTTGTGGGGTCCAATTATCAACCTCTGTGAGATTCAAAGCAGCTTGTACGTTTATTATGTTCGCCAATCGTCTACGATTCTACGATACGCCATTAATAGTAGCCTGATTTATGTATCTCTTCGTACATGTTTTCTATTACCATTCGATATGTCGGAGATTAAATATGATTGATGTATACTCGAAATGACAATTTGGCGATGAAAATCTTATTATATAAATGAAACCTCATCGTTGTTATGTCGTGTTATATGTAAATATATTGACCTTTATAAGTCAATAAACAAGAACATGTTCAATCTTCCGCATTTACATGTAAAAATAATTCCGAAATATTGCATGGGTGTTTTCCATTTGGTGACACAAGTTAACACAAGTGTCGTTTTATCTTTGTCATTCTCTGAGTGCCAAGAAAGATAGAATGACATTCGTGTTGACTTGTGTAACTAAATGGAAAACACTTAATAATTATTAATGATTATCGATATTGGACGTGTAACGAATTTCTCGTTTATGTCAGAATGTATATCAGTCATAATTTCTGGATTATTAATCGAAAATGGATTAACGATTACTTAAACTTTCATTTATATGTATATATCTATATAAGTATGTGTTTATTGTACAAAGAAAGTAGCAAAAAAAAAAGAAATCAATACGCGACTATTAAGCGATCTTTCAACGATCGTTATACAGAGTCAATTATACGGGCCAGCGACGTAGTCCACGTTTTGTGCTATAGTTTCCCACGTGATACGACACAACGGGTCATTGGCATAATGAAGAAACTTGGCGCGAGGGAAGTGGTCTCCGGCGGAAAGGAACGTGGAGAAAGATTTCAGGCGAACTTTACCGCGTTGGGGCGTCCCAGCGTGACGACGGGGCCCGTGCGCAATGCAGGCCAGTAAGACCAAGAAGAATAACGGATGGTGGGCGAGGAAGACGGACGAAAAGTTCGAAAATGC